TATAAATGAGAACAAAAAATAAAAAAGTTTTGATTATTAAGTTTATAATAATTATTATGAATGAATTAAAACTTCTTGAAAGAATGCCAGCTAGAAAAACAAATATCAAAATGAATTTTGTTATAAATGGTGTATTCTCATTTCCTGAAGAATGGAGATTAACTGATGAAGCTAATCCAAATTTATTTTAATACTCAGTTGCATTTCTTGATTAAAAATTATCAGGAGGGAAAATAATTCCAAGAGAATTAACAGATAAAGAGAAAAGAGAAATTGAAGAAGCTGAAGCTGCAAAGAAAGCAAAGAAGTAACCAAAAAAAGATGCAAAAATTGAAGTAATAATAATGAATATTATTAGTTACCTAAATTGACACCAGAAGAAGAGAAAGAAAAGAATCTAAGAGAATAATAAGAACTCGAAGAATAATAAAGACTTAAAGCTGAATGGGATGCTCTATCTGAACAGGAATAATTTTATAGGACTTAGGAAGACCAATACAAAAGTGCAAGCATAAAATTTGATTAGAATTAGTTTTGTTAAGAGTTAACAGGATAAAAATTAGTGATATAATAAGAAAGAGTAAGAGTAGATAAAGGAGAATGGATATTTTTATATAAATCTCCAATTCCAGGAGATGAAGAAGTAGCAAAATTGAAGAAAACAAAACCTAAGAGTTTAAATATAAATGATTTAAATATCATAGTATTCAAAGCTTGGATAGATTATTTACCATTTTAAATTTCAGGTTAAACTGAAATTATTTAAAGGATAAAATTTACTTAATATATGGATGAATAATCTCCTGCAGAAACACCTAAACCAAATATTGATACAATGTATATGTAATTAAAAATAAACTTATCTTATCCAATAACTCCAGTTAGATTTGAACCATAACCAACATTTTAAGATTTGATTCCTTTAGCACCTGAACCTTAACCTATACCATTAAGTTAATTATGTATTGAAGAATTAAGAAATGATTTATAAGTCATCATAGAATCTTTAGCTATGGAATATTCTAATATGTTTTCAAAAGATCTAAACAAATATCAAAATGAAAAGTAAAGTAATATGCTAATGACTCATAAAAAATAATCTCTTTAATAAAGAAAAGAACATTTTTTATATGATTTCAATATTACAGGGAAATACAAAATTTTAAAAGAAAGAATAAAAAAAAGTATTGTCAAATTATGTAGAGATAAATTTGGAAAATCAGGTTCAGTAACAGGTATTTCAACTACATAATCTGATTAATTTTATTCAGAATTATATGTATTTCTAATGGAAGAAATGAGATAAGTTTTAATTAATATGGTAAGAGAAAATAAAGAAGCTTTATAAGAAGATTTCTCTCATTTACTATCCAAAAAAAAAACAATTTAAGATATTGGTTTTTAAGAAATAATAGTTGAAAAAACCAATGAAACAAGAAAACAATAACTTGAAAGATTATGTTTAGAATATGAAATTTTAAATAGAACAGAAGAAGTTGAAAAACATCTTCGAGATTTAAATTTAATTAATCCAAAAGATTAAGATGCTTTAATGAAATTTGCTTACTTTTGTCTTAGATGTGAAAAAATAGAATAGGCAGTTATTCTTGTTGAATAAGCACTTTCTTTTGATGGTCATAATTAATAAAATCAATTATTATTAGCAGGATTGTATTAAAAAAGAGAGAAAATTTCAGAAGCTAAATTTATTTTAGAATTATTATTAGATAAAGACCCAAATAATTTAATTTATCATTTATTTTATAGTCTTATAATAAATTAATCAGATTAAGAACTAGGTGATTTTATGATGAAAAAAGCAGAAAGAATTTGGCTTCGATAAATAAATCTAATAAAATAGGAAGGTACGCATCATGATGATCCATAATTATTTGATATACCTTGGATAAAAATTCCTATTCCAGTACCAGATAAACCTGAGAAAGATAAAGCTATTCTTGAATAAAGAGAATAATAAAGAATTGCTTGGGAAAATGCTCATAATTAACCATAGTTAAGCGAATAATAATATGATTAGATGATTCTATAATTAGTTGAATTCTTTGAGAATGCTTCCCTCTATGAATTAGCTGAATAATCTCTAACTTTATTGAATGATAAATCTCATAATAAAATTGCTATGCTAAGAGCCAAAATATTTTTATATAAATCAGAATATTCTTAATGTTTAGATTTAATAGAAAATATTCTAGGTATTATTCTATTCTATTTTAAGAGTTTAATCCTGAAGATTTAGGAACTCGTATTGAATATATAAAAGTATTATTTAAGAGTTCATCTTTTGAAAAGTGTGAGAAATAGATCAAATTTGTACTACCAAATCCTTAATTGAGAGAAGATGCTATTACCTATTTCAGTATGTATTTGATGTTAGGATCAATTTATATTTAAGAGTAACAATTTGGTAATGCTCGTGCTGTATTTACTAAGGCTTGTCAAATTAAAGAAAATTCATCATTAGCTTGGATGGGATTAGGAATTTCTTCACATGAATGTGGTAAATATAAAGAAGCAGAAAATGCTTTAAGAATGGCTAATCTTTATGAACCAACTAATGATACAGTTTGGGGTTATATTGCATTAAATTGTTTAAAAGATGGTCAAAGATTTAGAGATGCTAATTCTGCTTTAAAAGAAATGAATAAAAATGATGTATCATATATCAAAATATTTGAATAGGCTGGTTAAGTACATTTAATGGTTCGTTTAAGCAAAGAATTTTATAATATTGAGGAATATTTGACAGCTAAAGAATTGTTATAAAAAGCTATTAGTTGGGCTAAAGTTTAAGATTTACTTTCAGATGAAATTAATTAATTTGAGATTCAATTAGCAGAGACAAATGAAAAACTTGGATTGCTTCAATAAGCTCTAGATATTTATTAAGAAATACTAAAAGGAGAGTATGGATCTTTAAAAGAACACTTATCATAATAAATAAAAAGACTTTATTTCCAAATCAATATAAAATATTGATAAAAGATTATAAATATTTATATATTATTAATATTAAATAATGAAATCCTTGTTCAGATATCATTTCATTAATAAAGTCAGTATTTCTTCAATAAATCAGAATACATTGATTCCTTTATATAAGTCATCAATTTCAGGTATTTATGATATATAATCATATTGTTAGATTAGAAATTAAACAATTTTTAATAATCTTATGTACCATTTAAAGAATACTTTTAACTTGTTCCTATTTTTCTTGAAAGATATTTATTTGATCATGGCAAACATTTTGTTGTTGGAATGTAATACTCAAAAGAATCTAATCTATTGTAATTGAAATGTATGGCACATTCAGGAATTTATACTAAATATGTTTGAATTATTTCTTATAATAGGTTGTTCCTTAAAACATTATTCCTGTTACTTTTGGTGATTACAATTAAAGTTGTAGATTTAATTTATTTGAGCATACAATTAGAGTTGACTATGATATGATTTATTATAACAATCAGCAAAATGAATTTTACCTTTTTGATAGGGAAGGTAAATGGGAAGAAGTCGAAATTCCAGAATTATCAATAGAAAAATTGTTTGATGAGAAGAAATATTTGAACGAAGTCTTCAGATGATCAAGAATAAATAAATATATAAAAATATTAATTATTTTTAACAACCATGAGGTCTAGATTATATCAATAAGACAAAAAAATTGTAGTAAAACTCATTTAATATTATAGAATTTTTCTTTTGACTCTAATCAATATGGGTTTCCTTAAACTACAAAGAATAGAGAGAATTAAAAAAGTATGTTTGAGCCAGATTTCTTTATTCAATAAAGTTCGTCTCCTAGAAAAAGACCTAATAATCGAGTTATTATTCGAAAATTATAATAAGGTTTCATATAAAATAACTCCCTCTATAAATTTTTCGACTCAGATTTCCTAAACATCAAAAAAACTCACTTAACCTACATCAAATTTGACAGAAAAATCAGGTTCATCCATTGAAATCCAGAAAGATCTTAATAATAAATAGGATTCAAAGCTATAAAACTCTAATAAATAACATTTTCATACATAAAATTATTAGTTAAAATTAGAGACAAAAAGTAAAGAAATCTAAACTGATCATAATGATTTTATAAAGAATGATTCTATTGAAAGAGTTTAAGAAGCAAAAGTTGTTAAATGTTTTCAATATCCATCATTTTATTCAATCTATGGAAAAGTTAAAAAGTCAACTTCTAGAGATCATCACTCTTTATAGGTAATACTTTTAATTTTTAATTTAGAAAGCATATTCTCATTTTTTAGATGAATCCGGGTCACCTAAAAACTAAACACCTTTAGATTGGTCAAAAATTAAAGTTCCAATTAATAATAATTAATGTTTGAAAGAATATGGTAACTATTTAACACAATTTGAAAAATAAGAAATATTATCATATAAGGATGTATTTAAAATAATTAAACATAGATTTATTATATAGGATAAACTAATAAGAAATTTAAAAACTAGATGACGTAGTTTAATGAAGGATTTGATAATCAAAAAGGAGAATATATAATAAATATTAGTGATCATGTAGCATATAGATTTGAAATTTTAGAAGTTATAGGAAAAGGAAGTTTTGGTTAAGCACTTAAAGTATTTGATCATTAAAAAAATATTATTTCTTGTTTAAAGATTATTAGAAACAAAAAGAAGTTTTACAATCAATCTTTAATCGAAATATAAATATTAACATATGTAAAAGAAAAAGATCCTGAAAACATAACTAACATAATCAAAATTAAAGATTATTTTGTTTTTAGAAATCATGTGGTAAAATTCTAAAGCTAATTTTAAGTGTTTGAATTTTGAATTGCTCTCAATGAATTTATATGACCTAATCAAAATAAATAATTTTTCAGGACTACAATTAGAGTTGATTCGTAGATTTGCCATTTAAATATTAAATTCGTTAAGTTTTCTATACAAACATAATATAATTCATTGTGATTTAAAACCAGAAAACATTTTACTAAAACATCCAAATAAGAGTGGCATTAAAATAATAGATTTTGGGAGTAGCTGTTTTGAAGATTAAAGAATTTATACTTATATTTAATCAAGATATTACAGAGCACCAGAAGTTATTCTAGGAATTCCTTATAATAAAAGTATTGATATGTGGAGTTTTGGATGCATTCTAGCTGAATTGTATTTAGGATATCCTTTATTTCCAGGTGAAAATGAGCAAGAATAGATTAGTTTTATTTTAGAATTGCTAGGTTCTCCAGATCCAGAATTGCTTTTAGTATCAAATTTAATTAATTATAAAGCTTGCTGAAAGGAGAAAATTATTTTTTAAAGATTACCATCCATATAAACCATTAATTTACTAAAATAAAAGAGGAAAAGTAAGAATACCTGGTAGCAAAAACTTGAATAGTGTTTTAAGATGTAATGATAATTTATTTATTGATTTTTTAACAAAATGTTTGGTCTGGAATCCAAAGAAAAGAATCAAACCTATTGATGCTTTGATGCATGTATTTATTTTAGAGGGATTACCTAGCACAATTAGGCATTAACATATTCAATATATTTAAAATGAATATTAATCTTAATTATAGAAAAAAAATCCTACAAAATAAGGTGAATAAGGAATATAAATTTCTATGAACTTTACTTCAGAACCAGAAATATATCATAATTCTAAGTTGAAAAGCTAAGTATTAACATAAAAATATTCATACATAAAGTAACACTCATAAGAAAAAGAAGATGAAAAAGAAACTTAAAACGTTTCGAAAAGATTATCTTTATCCTTTCACTCAAATAAACATTCTAATTAAAAACAACCTCTTATATTTAGTTATTTTCCAGAAACAACAAAATGTTTAGTGAAAAAAAAGAATTGAAATAAAGGATTAATATATATTTTTTGTTATATTTGTATTTATAAGTTAATTAATGATATAAATATATAAATAAAAAAAAAATAATATATATAGTAATTTTAATAAGAAAAAAAAGTAGTTTATAATGGATCCTGTTTTATTATAAAAATATAGAAGTTAATCTAGTTTGAGTATTTAAAGTAGTCCAAAATAATTATTAATACATAGAGGGAAAGGGAATAAATAAATGATAAATGTTTCTGTAAGTAATGATTATGATTTAAAACAATCATATTCAATATTAAAATTATAAATGGAAGATGATGGAAAAGTTAGTATTTCAACAAATAGAAGATTGATTAGAACATTTTCATCTAAAATAATAAAAAGTAATTAAGAATAATAATAATAATAATAATAATCTTTTCATAATTCAGCTTAATAATTCTTTCATCCTCCATTTAAAATACCAACTCCTTTACATTAAATTACTTTAAAAAAATAAATTAAATCAATTATTGTTAAAATTCCAGAAAAAACTATTCCAAAAAGATAAACTGCCACTAGTGAATTAATTAGAAAAAAAATATTAAATGCATAAAGAAAAACTTCTATTTTAAATAAATACATTCCTACTAAAATATCTATTGAACCTAAATTATCATATTAAAAGTAATTTATTATTTATATTATTACTTTTTTAGATTATTCTAATCATCTAATTAATATTTTAATAAAAACAATCATAATAAATATATTCATAATAATCATAACAATAATAATAATAATAATAATAATACAAATAATAATTCAATTACTTTTGATTCACATTATTTTTGATATATATAT